ATGGGAACGTTAGGGTTACACTTTATTTTAATGGTTCCCTTTAGACATTATTTTGACATAAGTAATGTTGCAGCTATATGTCAACTAACTCTCATTAGAGTACTAGTTCAGTATTAGTAGACTGAAAGGGTATAGTTAGGTTTTGTAGAATAAGGGATTAGGGTTAGTAGAATAAGTTGACATGTAGTATGGTCAGTAGAATATATGTTGGGGGACCAACAAAGTAAAGTGTTAGCAGATATTGAGCAGACAGTCTACTAATACGGTACTTTAATGAGAGTGAGTTGATGTGCAACGTTACTTAGAGCCAACAGAATGTCTAAAAGGGGGACCATCAATATAAAGTGTTACCAATGTGACTTTTGTATATCATCTAAAGTAGTGAGTGCAGTTGTAACGTTATCAAACATTAGATTAACTTCCAACTAAGATCCCGTTTACACCTGGTATTAAGATGTGTTTTGGTCGATCGGATCACAAGTGGACGATGGTAAACACAGCTGTAAACGGGTCTAAAACGCTTTGAGCTTATCTACTTTTGACCACTTGTAGAGGAAGTCGAAAACGCATTCGTTCAGATTGCTTTCGTAGTGTAAACGCTCATGTGATCGAATGTGTTCAAACAACTACAAAAGACCGTCTACTGAACTAATGAGTAACATGGGAAGAGCTCTAGCCAGACGGGATTTAAACTGTCGGCTGAAGACCCAAGTTTGTTTTGAAGAGGAAAAACATACCAATCACAATGTTCTCTCATCATTTCATGATTTCTAACACACACTCACAGTGTTCGGCTGGTCTTATGGCTGTCAGAGCAGAAATGAAACCTGATGATCTCCGTGTGTTTTTCGTATTCTCTCGCTTTCATATGTAAGTTGCTTGAGCTGAGCTTATTTAGTCAATAAGATCGAAATATCTGAAAAAGTCCATACATTTCCCCGCCCATAGACCCTCCCCTCGAAGAAATCAAAAGTGGTTGGAAGTGGACAAAAGAGACGGATTAAAACACCAGGTGTAAACAGGGAAACGTCAAAGTATAGTCAAATAAATCGAAAAACCCCATTATAAAACTTGAAAATCTTGAAGGAGCCAGCGGCGAATTAGTCTTCCGGGTTCTGACATCATACCTGCACTCTATTAAGTAACAAATTGAATATGAAATTATGAAGTAGAAAGACTGAAATAGTTTTGTCATGTAAAACATACTCCAGTAGTCTTATTTACAACTTTGAAAAACCAAGTTTTACAGCGTACGCATGGTATTTTTTGAAATGCATTGGAGTAGCATAGAAATACCATGTTTTTGTTGTTGTTGTTTTTTCAACGTATACATATTTTATGTTCATATGTGCATGTTTTATTGAATACTGGCTTTCTTTGAAGGACTTATTTAGCCCAGTTGTGTATTCCTTTTTTCTAAAGACTAAATATCAGCGATGACAGGGTTTATTTGTTGCGTCTGCTATCATGTCTTCAAACATCCTCAGTGTAGTTGTCTCAGGAAGCAGTCGGGACGCTTCAGGCATTAGCCGGACGTACAGGAGACCACCAGTACGGTGCGAGATCACTGCCATGTGCGCCACAGATGCCTTCACAACTCCACCAACACAATAAAACCAACGCAAGCGCCTCCATATCACTGACAAATAGGCATGATGCAATGACTGCTGCAATGCTGTTTTGTAATCTCAGAAAATACAACTGTTTATTTAGCTTTATTTAGGCACCAGACATCATCATCCCGGCACAAAAAAACACGGGCAGTTTTGGCAGAGCGCTGTGGAAAATGCACGTCTGCGCAAACAACTGCAAGCCAAAGACGCGGCGTTTAGTAACGTGCAGGAGAGCATGACGCGCGAGGGAGAACAACCGCGTGCAAAGACAGAGACCCCGTTTAAAGTTGACCTCCTGGTGCGCTGCTCGACATGTGCTGAGGGCGAACTCGCGGTCGGTCGCTCTCGCAGGTGTTTGGCCCGTATGCGTTCAATGGAGGTGGGATTACAAACACATTTACTGTAATGGCTTGGCTTGTTCTCCCATCTCTCTTAAGTGTGGCCTCACTGATATGGAACTTCAAAGTGAGGCTCTGTGTAGAAATTAGTGCTGTTTTTGTTCATTTTAGTATAATAGTGCAGTCATCAAAACTGTGAAATTACACAAATTGAGGTATGGGAAATAAATAGGGACCAAAACATGCAAAAACTGTTATTTGAGCTTCTTCTCTGACTAGATTCTAGCTCTGCAACTCCAAGACTTCACCAAGACAAAATCTTTGTTGATCCTGTTGATTCCAATCAACCAATCAGATTTGAGGGAAAGGTTTACAGTTTATGTCAAGTTTAGGGTTACAACCAGGGTTAGGTGCCTATCTTTTCCCTCTGATTTTAGGGATACGTTATGGATAGGGTAATTTTCGGACAGGAATGTTGTTCCAGGATCAACAAAATATGTTGACCCAGGAACGTCTCGGCAAAATCAGGACGTTCCTGCCATTCATCATCATCCAACTTTATGAGGTGCATCTTGGGATGCTTTTTAAACATTATGATGTTATTGACATAGCCTATTACAGTTTTTATTAATTGTTTGAATTCAATTTTATTTTTACTTTTCCCCAATTTGGTTGTCTGTTTTTGCCATTTTAATGGCTTTTTTATTCATTTTTCAGTTTTAGTTTTAGTTATTTAAGTACATCAATGAAAACTAAATGAAACTGAGAAAAGTTTCCATGCCAACTAGCTAAAATAAAATAAGTTTAATTTTGTATACATTTTATTTCAGTTAACATATGCTTTTAATTTTAGTTAACTAAAAACCCTGGTATGATGGACATTTATTGGCTGCTTTTCTTTTGCTCTCCTCTCAAAATCCTCCATAAAAAGTAGTTTTGTATAAAGCACTTCATATGTAACCACAATTTATAACATTTTCTAGCATGTATTTAAGCATCAGCCTACTTATTACTTTTTTGACTAGGAGGGATTCTATATTTTGGGGACAAATTTGTACCCAGAGGTGACCAAAACCTGACAAAATCTCCAAAAGGGACGTCCTCATTTGTAAATCTGGTATAAAAAATAAAGTAATTAAAGGTTTTTTAAAATTGTAAAAATGCAGAAAGGTTTGTGTGATGTAGTAGGGTTAGTGTAAGGGAGAGAATATGCAGTTTGTACAGTATAAAAACCATTACGTCTGTGGAATCTCCCCATTTAGTTAGCTAAGTAAACGTGTGTGTGTGTGTGTGTGTGTGTGTGTGTGTGTGTGTGTGTGTGCGTGTGTGTGTGTGTGTGTGTGTGTGGGAGCTTCATTTAGCTTTTTGCAGTAGGCTTCTGCCTGGTGTCGCTCTCATCTTTGATCACTGATCATTGAAGCTTCTCTAATCCGTCTCACTGTCATCCTGTCTGTGTCATTCCTTCCTTTCATGCTTTCATCCCAGCGCTGAGAGGACACAGAGCACTCAGATAGTTTTACCGTCTCACTTGATACCTGCAACCCGAGACCCCAATGGAGCCACTTCACACACACACACACACACACACACACACACACACACACACACACACACACACACAAACACGGATAGAGGAGTGCGAACGCTACCTGCGGACATATTCGCTCGCTGTTGTTGTTTTAATTTTTTTTTTATGTTATGGCCGAAAACCAATTGATTGCAAATAAATAAATAATAAATAAAAGTTTTTTTTAAACCCACTAACGTTCTAGAATTGTATGTATGAAACAACAAGTGAAATACACAAGTGAAATTAGACAATATACAGTTGAAAACGGATAACTGCTTATTGATAATCACAAAAATAATCACAAATGAGTTCTCTTTAATATCTCAATTGTTTCTCATAAACATCAGGGGGATTAAAGGGAGAACAAATGGAGAAATCCTGACATATAATTAGAGAAAATTTGGCCAAACAATTATCATTAGGTTATGACATTATATAATGTCATAATATATATTTTTTTTAAATTCCTTCATTTCATTTTCATAGTTAGACCTCTGATTTCCCCCAAAATAAATACTGAATATATATTATTTTATCCTTTAAATATAAATCCTGGATAAAATGAATATTGAATATTATAAATTACAATTGTGTATTTACAATTTATTATATTTAATGTTAATTTTATCTGTCATATTTAAAAGATAAATTCATAATCATTATTCATTAATTCAGTATTATTCAGTAATATGTGTATATAAACAAAACAAAGTTGCAGGACAGAGTTGATTTTCCTCTGATGATCTGCATCCATCAGCATCAGCCTAATCAAACTGATATCCACAATTAAGAAAAACACAAATATTGACTGATAGTGATGTGCTCATGATCACATGTAACACAACCCAGACTCAGTGGATAAAGTGAACAGGAGTGTTTTTAGATCTGTGTGTCTGAACTGAGGAAGCATGTATCCTGTGCACACCCAGTGTTCCTTTTCGTGGGGTGTGTGTGTGTGTGTGTGTGTGTGTGTGTGGGTGGGGGGGGGGACACAACTGTCATGATAGAAGCATCTTTCCACACTTTTACTCTGATCAAAGAGCAGCCGGACAAACCCCCCGCAACTACAGCCCCAGGGTTCACACTCGCTGCCACTGAGGTTATCACAGTCTGATAACCAGCGTCAGTGTGTGTGTGTGTGTTGACAACTGAATTAAAACCTGCCAGTGAGCAAAGGTCAAACAAAACTGCAATTTCCCCTCTGACCTCTTCACAGAAACACGCAGATGCACACATCCTTTGGTTTGTTCCCCCAATTTTTTTTCCTTATTGAGGTTTTAAAGCAAAAACTGAATAATTTAAATAATGTTTTTACAATTGCCGAAGAAAAGGTTGTTGCAAGCTAAAACTGAACTAAAACTAAACATGGTTTTAAAAATAGTTCAAATTAAACCTAAATAGTAATATAAAAACTAATTTAAGCAGCTCAGTTTCACATGAAAGCCTCTGTATTAACTGTTAATGTGTTGTGTGTTTCAGGTATTTTGGAGATCACGTCAGTGGATGTTGGGATCGTTGCCGTCAAAGGTCTCGGCAGTAACCTTTACCTGGCCCTCAGTAAGAGAGGAGAACTGTACGGAGCGGTGAGTGTCCTGCACCAAATCTCCAGCAAAATACACCTGGAGTTAAAACTATGGGGTTATGGGGATCTTTAGGGAGACTCAAGTGGGTGCTGTTGGAAAATTAAATTAAATTAAATTAAATTAAATTAAATTAAATTAAATTAAATTAAATTAAATTAAATTAAATTAAATTAAATTAAATTAAATTAAATTAAATTAAATAGGCCTACAATTAAATTAAATTTAATTTAATTAAATTAAATAGGCCTACAATAAAATCAAATTAAATTAAATAGTCCTACAATTAAATTAAATAGGCCTAAATAAAATACAATTAAATACAATTAAATACAATTAAATTAAAAAAGACTATCAATGAATAATTTATTAAATTATTTTCATAATTAAATTAATTCGATTTATTAATTAATATTTAATTATATTGTCAGACAATTTATTTACATAGTTGACATTTCTGTTACTTAATAGAAATATAATATTTGAAACATACTATTATTATTGTTATTTATCCCAGTATAAATAGGGCTTTATACATGAAAATATATAGCTTATATTTTAGGAGTTCTACAAAGGAATCTTCATATCTTCGGGTCCATAACACCAACAAGTTTGAAAACCCTTGTTTTAGGCTAAAAAAAATAAGGTGTTGTGTGTAATTTCTGCAGCCCTGTCTGTCATTGGTCAAACAAACACGTAGCCCCGCCCCAAACTCACGCCATTGGTTGAGTCAGTGTTGCTGTGTCAGACGGGTCAAAGGCTGCGTCCGAAATCCCACACGCTCTTGAGTAGATACTTATTTTGAATAAGTAATTACTTCACGACCGCTAAAAAGTATGGTATGTCAGTGTGTGTAGTATGAATGTAATCCGGACGTACTACATCCGCCATGCTGTCACTATCATGTGACCAGTCATTCACAAATCCTCTCCCGTGGCCTCATGGGATAGTAAAGTGTCCATCATATACACACTTCAGAATCTCGCTGGAAGTAGAAGGTCATCCGGGTACTTTTTGCCTACTCTTTTATGAACACTGCGAATTCAGACATACTTATTTTGTCGTATACTGTTTTTTTCACCTACTATATAGTAGGGAAGTATGCGATTTAAGATGCAGCCAATGCTTTTTTTAGGGAGAATGTACAAATAGCTCACTTATTTTAGTATTCAATACAATAAACACACATCACCTTTAACATGTGATAGACTTAAAGGGTTAGTTCACCCAAAAATGAAAATGATGTCATTAATGACTCTCCCTAATGTCGTCTCAACCCCGTAAGACCTTCATCTTCGGAACACAGTTTAAGATATTTTAGATTTAGTCCGAGAGCTTTCTGTCCCTCCATTGAAAATGTATGTACGGTATACTGTCCTTGTCCAGAAAGGAAATAAAGACATCATCAAAGTAGTCCATGTGACATCAGTGGGTTAGTTACAATGTTTTGAAGCATCGAAAATACATTTTGGTCCAAAAATAACAAAAACTACGACTTTATTCAGCATTGTTTTGTCTTCCGGTTCTGTTGTGGATCCGCGTTCAGTGCCGCTGCTGACGTAAGACGCTGCTGACGTGTGTCTGGTGTGTGTGTGTGTGTGTGTGTGTGTGTGTATTCTGGTTCTGTTGTGGATCCGCGTTCAGTGCCGCTGCTGACGTAAGACGCTGCTGACGTGTGTCTGGTGTGTGTGTGTGTGTGTGTGTGTGTGTGTATTCTGGTTCTGTTGTGGATCCGCGTTCAGTGCCGCTGCTGACGTAAGACGCTGCTGACGTGTGTCTGGTGTGTGTGTGTGTGTGTGTGTGTGTGTGTATTCTGGTTCTGTTGTGGATCCGCGTTCAGTGCCGCTGCTGACGTAAGACGCTGCTGACGTGTGTCTGGTGTGTGTGTGTGTGTGTGTATTCTGGTTCTGTTGTGGATCCGCGTTCAGTGACGCTGCTGACGTAAGACGCTGCTGACGTGTGTCTGGTGTGTGTGTGTGTGTGTATTCTGGTTCTGTTGTGGATCCGCGTTCAGTGCCGCCGCTGACGTAAGACGCTGCTTTAAATATCTTAAACTGTGTTCCGAAGATGAACGGAGGTCTAGAGATGAAGATGAGGGCGAGTCATTCATGACATAATTTTCATTTTTGGGTGAACTAACCCTTTAACCACGTATGATAAAGCGATAAGTGATTGAGAATGAGATTTAAATGGTTATTCGGTCAGAGCTGATGTTGGACCAGCATGTTTCAAACACCAGCGTGACTATGGCCTGGTTTTCCTCGCAGGAAAGGTAATCAACTCTTCGTTTCTTGCATTTCAGAGGAACTATGGTGTAAACTGCCGTCTGAAGGAGCGCATCGAGGAGAACGGGTATAACACATACGCATCCGCCGAGTGGAGGAACAAGAAACGACAGATGTTTGTAGGTCTGAGCGCTCATGGAAGGTCTCTGCGTGGGAGAAAAACCCGCAGGAAGAACACAGCTACACACTTCTTACCCATAATGCTGTGACATTTGTGACGCAATGCTGACGGGATGGAGAGAGACACTTTGTCCGCACGCGCCTCTCTTTGCTTTGCTCCTTCATTATAACTTTATGCTCACGCCAGCTGAAATTAAGTGGTCAACATTCTCAAAAGAGCATGAATGTTTCATTTCCATTGTGCGTTATTCCAGTGATCTGTTATTGTGGATTATGTGTGCAAGAGTTTCCTTCAAGCTCTCCTGAATAGGATTATATTTCTAAGATCATTTATTTCTAATGGACATGAAGATCTTGTAGGAGCGGCTCTGAAGGCTGGGGAAAGATAGTGGGGATGTACAGTATACGGGGAATTTGTATCTTCAGTTTTGGACTGCTTTGAAATAACTATATTATTTATTTGTATTGTATTTAAATAAAATACTCTAAAAAACATATTAAAAGCATATCAAATGGATAACCTCTTTCTGTGAAATAAAATCTATTTTGTTATCCTCCTGCAGAGCAGCTTGTGCCGTGTTTCATGTTCACGTCCCAGACTGGAGGAATAACAAGCAGAAATGTGGGTGTCAACCCAAAATCAAAAGAAATATTTGAAAAGTAAATAAAACATATTTAAATTTTCCTGATAATTAAGCACAAGTTTCATTAAAAAAAATTACCATTATTCATATTAGTAATTCTCTTTAGACTCTTCTTAATCCAGTCATTTATTACAAAATTACTGTAAATTAAAGTCCCCCTCAGGGTTATTAATGTTAAAACTATTAAAAATATTTTCATTCACTGAAATATAAATATTCTATGTAATAAATATTAACATTAAACTAAATGAAAATGAGAAATGTTGTCTTGGAAAATAAGATGAAGCACTAAAATTAATAAATAAAATGGAAATAAATAAAAACTTTGATGATTAGGATAGTAAAATGTGGACTAATGAGGGTTCCACATAATTTTTTTAAAATTAAACCAAACAAAAAGACATAAATAAAAATCACATGAATTAATAAATTACATAAATTAATGAAAATGACAAAAGCACATACAAGAAAATTCAGAGAAAATTTACTAAAATAACAATGGAAAATATAATAATAAAAGCGAAAAATAGATAATAATGGATAATATTTTTTTTTTATAAAATGGAAATAAATAAAAGTATGAAAAATTGTTAAAAAACCTAAAAAATGTAAATGTACATATAAAGTTTGCATGAACTAATAAATGACATTAATTAATTAATAAAAAATAACAAATTAATAAAAATAACAAAAGCACATACAATAAAATGACTAAAAATTAAACTAAAATTACAAAAAAAAAAAAACTGAAAATATACAAATAAAAGTGAAATAGTATGTAAATAATACAAAAATATCAATGCAATCTATAAACATTTTACATTTAAATCATTTACAGCAGTGTGAGTGAGGGATTTTATTTTATTTTTGCATTATAATAATGTATCTTTTAATGGTAAAGATATGCAGTGGGATGATTGAATTTCCCGTAATAACAGTTGGAAATCATTACCGTCGTGGATGCTGTTTGGTCACAACAACACTTACAACAGCCCAGAGAGAAGTTTGGCTTAACTGACGCACATACAAAACAAAGTTAAACACACTAACCATTACATTTTCCACTCGCTCCTTGACTCCATCAAATCATTTGTTTAGTTTCACACCTATCTATTGCATCCACTTGCAAAAGCAGTTGTTTCCGTGTCCTTTACAGACAAAAAAAACATTCAGTAACGGGAACTGAATCCTGCTATCTTTTATCTAAATAGTTCTGGATAATTGGGGGAGCGAAAGGCGCTCACTCAAATAATGTGATCCAGCTTGAAGAAACAAGTGGAAAAAGACTTGGGGCGAGTCTTAATGAATGCGTATGTGGAGCGGCCGACTCTGACACACAGGGTGTTAATGGTTTCTTCCCAGTGACTCGGGTGGGGAGGCCGGCCTGGCCCACTGAAGCCTTATGGGGGGGTCAGGCCTGGTTTATAGGGGCCCGGGCCCTTCTGCCATGCTGCTTCAGTCTGGGGCCGAGCGTGTGTGTGAGGTTCTCTGAATCACTCCTGCTGTCATCAGACATCACACCCAAATCTGTCTTGACATTCCGGTTAAAAAAAGTGTATCATCTGACTGTCAGCAGTCATTAATGGAAATTTAAAGAAAAGGCTATAATGCTTTTTAAGTGGATTAACTTCAGCAGTTTGACTTTTTTTTTTAGATGTATTAAAATGTATTTTATATATGTATAGATTAAAATATATAAAATATTGTATGTATTAAAACATAATATTATTATTACATATTATATTATATATTTGTAATCTACATATAAATAATATATTTATTATATATACATCTGTATTTATTATAGGATACAATAATACTGATAATAAAATTATTTACAAAATTAGGCAGAAGTTATGTAGGCTAATTTATCTTATTTAAAATGATATTATATAAAGATATTATAATTGGTTACATTTTTAATGTATAATATTATTGTATCCAAACTTTTGTAAAAATAAATAAATGAATACATACATACATACATAAATAAGGCAGTTGTCCATTAGAATTTCATTGCAGACTGTATATCTAAATTAAATAACAACAGAAACAAAAACAAAATACCAAGTTATATTGGTTATATTACATAAAACAGAAAAAAAGTATACAATTCATTTTATCACAAAATATAGGCATTATTTATGTAATATTTATCTTACTTTAATAGTTTAAATATTTTAAAATCAATTATGTTATATAAAGATATTGCAATTTGGTTACATTTTTAAATTTTAATAGTATTGTAATAATATTCATATATAATTGTATATAAAAATGCTAAATTATATTGGTAATATATCATAAAAAACTGGGAATAAAATAACATTTATACTATAACAGCTCTGTTTTAAAGAGATGCTTTTGTGGCATTATTTAAGTAAACTATTTTTTAATTTAAAAATAAAATAATTATAAAAATAACAAAAGGTTTCCGATTCCTGACCTTTATTATTTAGTTTGGGAGAATAAAGCTTGTATTGTTCAGTTTCTGGATTGAGACTTTTATTTTGAATTCACGGCGCGGAAGTTAACCCCGGAAGAAAACGTCGTGGCGACCTCCCCACACGTGTGCGCCACACTCACTCTCATGATGGTTGCAGTGATGCAGGGAGAGATGGGAGAGATCGAGAACAACACCGTGCGACCCAAAGTTACCGATGCTAAAGGCATTCTCAAACAGAACCGAGAGTTTCTGGATTATTTCTGGGACATCGCGAAACCCGAGCGAGACATCCGCCTCAAAGCGATAGAGGATCTGATTGAACACCTGAAGCAGAGCGAGAAGGTATGAAGTGAATGGTCATATTAATATTGGCTGATCACTGTTGATCAATACTATTCTTAGCTAGAGTTGGTTGTTAGTGCTGTTTTATCACCCGATGTAATAAGCTGTCATTACCTGCATACTGTGATCCGTTCAGGTTTGGTTGTTGACGTGAAAACACGTGGGTTTCATAGGGCTGTTGAATATGGGGGATTTTTTATTTATGAAAACTTTAATGTCCACAGACTCCAGACAAGATGATTTAAAGAGAAAGAAGAAAAAATCGAGTTTCACGGTTTAAATATATCACATTTTCCCATTATTTAGAGTGTTAAAATGGTTTTAGTTTGTTGCTCTATGACAAATATGAAGACTTCCTATTCTGTCACGTATTTCTATCTATCTATCTATCTATCTATCTATCTATCTATCTATCTATCTATCTATCTATCTATCTATCTAAAATCATTCCTTCCATCCATCTATCCTTCTGTATCTAAATCTAAAATCCATCTAGCCTATCTATCATCCATACATCAATCTAAAATATATCTAAAATCCATCCACCTGTTTGTCTCTATCTACCTTATCAATTTAAAATCATCCATCCATCCATTATCTATTCGATACCCACATATGTTTTCAAAAATGCTCCTAATTGAAGAATGTAAAACAGATCAAATGACCTTGTGTGATAAAGTCAGTGGATTCCAGCTGATGGTGTGTATTTATATGTTTCCTCTGTTTCTGTTCTGTACTTTCTTCTAGGCGGATGAGTTGAAGTATTCACTGAAGAGACTAGTGGATGGACTTTCTCACACAAGAGAAGATGCTCGATCAGGATACAGTGTGGCTCTCGCTCAGGTATTTTTAGCCATTCAAGTTTTATCTTCATGTTTTTCCTTATATAGCAGTCATTAGTTATGAAATTGACTGTTATTGTTTCTTGTCTGAAGCTGCTGAGTGTATTTGAGGAGATCTCGCTGAAATCCACACTAGACTGCGTCAAAGAAAAGCACAACCTCAAGACAGCCAAAAAGGTGAGTGTTTTTTTTTTTAGCGTGGAACCCTCATTAGTCCATATTTTATTATCTTAATCATCAATCTATCATAATCACGATCACCGATCTTGTCGTGCTTTAATTCTTTTAACAGAAATTCATCAGAAGTGCAGCATTTGGGAATTTCTTCGGGGTGCTCGCGCTGTCTCAGTCCACACGTCTGCATAAGGTGAGAGAGACGCTGAGGATGGTGTTACATCACTAATTCTTAATTTGCATATTATTTGGGATGGATATAAACAATCATTTGTGTTCATGATCTTTTTCTGTCTCTCATCACCTCTCAGGATCCGCAGGTCATGCTGGAGTGTGTCCAGGTCCTCCAGAGTCTGTCGCAGTACAGAGAACACCTGAGAGACCTGCCCAGGAAAACCATGGTCGACATCCTGTCAGAGGTGATTAATGACATTGTGACATCATTTACTCGCCCAAACCCGTAAGACTTTTTCATCTTCGGAACACAAATAAAGATCTTTTAATGAAATCTGAGAGATTTCTGTCCCACAGCTACGCAACTGACACTTTTAAGCCCCAGAAAGGTAGTAAATACATCATTAAAGTAATCCTAATCATGTATTGGCCAATAAGCGGTATCGGCCGATTAAAGCTCCCATTATTTGTAGCAAGTCTCTCATCCAGTAATCGCAAAGAGCTTTGTGCTCGGTTACTTCTGATAAGAAACAAAGTCTCAGCTTTCAAATTCTGTCCATTTTATCACGAAATTCAAACAGTGAAGTTTGAGTTGACTCTCTTAAATGTGACGTGACAGATCGCTGTAGCGCCTCAGTTCAAACATGAGTCTTTTCTT